CATTCCCCTAACCGGTAAGCACTGGGTGCATACCCAAGTTCTGCCGCTTGTGCGAGTAGTTCCACCGTATACTCCACATCAACAAACACGACGTTGTCTATGCCCCGTTCGTGCAGCAGGGCGAGCTCATGCAGGGCATGCGGGAACTCGGCCGTTGCGTGCTCTGCGGAGCGTTTTAGCCATTTGACACCTTCGCGTGGCCTTTTTGAGAGTCCGAGCTCGCCATTAAGTTCAGCAATACCAAGGCGGTACATAGCGCCGGGGTGAAGTGCTGCCCCGGCTTTTCGGAAGAATTGGAGAGCTTTGGCAGATTCGCGCCTGCAACCCCATCCATTCTCGCAGCAAGTTCCTGCGCGATAGGCAGCATCTGGATGCCCGTGCTTTGCTGCAAGCACGAATAGTGGGTACGCCCGGTCAAAGTCTTGCTTGTTCTTGTAAGTGCCTAGACCATTCGCGTAGCAATCTGCCAGGAAATATTGGGATGCTGGGTGCCCCCGATCTGCTTGACGTTTGAGGAGGCCTGTGGCTTCATGGACGAGGTTGTCACGCTTGTCAATTGCCTTTTCAATTTCCATGACATTTCCGGGTGTGGGAGCCGGGATGGGGAAAGATTTAGAGGCATCAATCATGAATACTGCGAACTCGAACTGAATGTCTGGATCCTGTGTTTTCTTTGCATTTGCACGATATAGCTCGAGGGTACGCTCATAAGACAGTAACGAGGCTTGGTTGCCCGGGCGGAGGTGAGAGTGATCTAAAAGGGGACCTTGGGGTAGTGGTGATTGAGAATGAGATTGTTGAGGTGGGAAAGATGTGCTGCTATTCTGTTGGGCGCCATAAAACTCATCCGCAGCATCAAGTGATTGACCTGCGAGTCCCAAGGGTTGATCATCGTCGTCATAGTCAGGATTTACTGGCTGTTGTGGGGACTTGTGATGGTTCTGGGAGCTTTGAGCACGGGACTGGCGATGATGGCGTGGTGGCTCTGGGAGATAATCTGGTTGGTTTGCTGCATCATCCGCAGCATAGAACGAGTTTGGCCGTGACTGAGCGTGGGCGTACATTACTTAGTACGATGGGAAGAGAGTTGAGCCGATACTTAGATCAAGCTGTTTGATTGTCAAAAATGTTAGCCTAAACCGAATTCGAAGCTTTGAGGATGGATTCGAACCCACTATTACCTGGGTGGAAAGAAGTTATATGGTCGTTATAAGGGCTGTACTAGTAACACGCTAGTTAATTATGGTACAAGATATAGACACGGATTCGCCTACGGGCTCGGTGGCTGACTGTTGACCAATGACACGGCACACGGTCGTCGCTGCAGTCGTTGATGAGGAGACTATTTGACTAGATCGTTGTAGATGTGGTCTCTGACGTCGACGGAGTCGATCGCCAGTAAGGAGTGGCCTCAAGGCAGCTGCAAGGCTTTGCAGTGGATAAAGAGAAGCAGCAATGTAATTATACCGGTGAGAGCCGGTTATTAAGTTCACATGTTGTCGAATGCGGTGTCAGGTCTGCTCACCGAAGCTGCGACCAGCATAAACTTTTGTTGAGGTTTTGTATATATCATGCAGTCATTGCGCACACGCAGGCCCTCTGAGACGCGCACCGTCAAACGCCAGGCCTCTAAACTCGAGAAGAAGCCTATCAATAAGAATGTTCGCAAGTCTACCGTCGATGACAAGATAAAGAAGCGCATGTCACTGCGCTATGCAGAGATATCTGCGCCCACCGAAGCTTCTGTTCCGGACGTGCCAAGCGTTCCAATTGGGCTGCGTCCAGGTGCAGTGAGGGACCCAGATGAGCTTGTCTTGGAACGTGCCAATATCAGAGAGGACCCGAAGATTATAGATCAGAGGTTGCTAGACAAAGAAGATTTTGATCCAGACACTTGTGAGTACTGTGCATTTGCAGTCTGGATGTTCTTACGCGCTCGACATGCTATATAGACCTGAAGGCCAAACTAGCCAACTCAACCGAGGTGGAGCTCAGATCTCTCCAGTCTTCACTTAGATCATCCAAGGATGATACTGCTGTCGAACTACAGCGGAATGTGTTTAAAAAGTATTTCACAGTATCTCCCCATGTTCTGCCCCATCGAATTCACTAACAGTACTACAGCTATGCCGAGTTCGTACATATTTCCAAAGAAATTTCTGTTCTCGAGAACGAAGTGCTCGAACTCAAAGAAAGCCTTTCGGAATGGAAGTCTATGCCGAGCCTTTTGCACATTGACGAGTCCGCCTCTGCTTCAGAGCGGCGGCGCAACGTCCGTTCATCCATTGCGGACCTTCGCGTGCTCTATGCGAATCAGATGCAGACACTGCACACCCAAATCGAGGGCTCTGCGAAATTTGCTCCAACAACGCCAGGCAGACATGTAATTTACGAGATGGACGGGATATATGCTCTCAATGCGGCAACCTATAGGGTCAGTAACACTGTCAAGTTTGTCGTACTAGATGATTCTGTGCTTGTCGCGAAGAGGAGGAGGAGGAACAACGGAGAAGGGGGACGGCTGGTCGCAGAAAGATGTTGGCCTTTGAATGAGATGTTAGTTTTGGATACGAAGGATACAGCAAGTGAGTATGGTTTGAATTGTAGAACGTATACGATTATCTGATCAACCCGGCAACTTAAAGCCATGACAAACGTCTTTAAAATTCGCCATCAAAAGGAGACATATGTTTACAGAACGGAGGCACCCTCTGACAAGAAATCTCTTCTTGGACAGTTCCGCCAGGTTGCTGAAGAACTTGCAATCCGCAAACGCAGAGAACGTGAAGGCGAGCATGAGCGACGTAAGAGCATGTGGACCAGTGGAGATGTCAGCCTTTATGCCTTAAACGATTCATATTCGTTCATCTGACATAACGTTCTTTTTCAGCGCTCCTCTATGACGCTACATCCTGATAAGATGCCGCCCCTTCCTGACTGGATGGCTGAGCTTGCCCGCAAAGCGGGCGTTGATGGGGATACCAGCGCACGAGACAAATCCGAGAGCGATGCTCGTTTCGTCAGTGATTTTTCAGACGATCTCACAGTCGCCATCGCTCTGCGATCCTGGGAACGGGCCGTTGCACTAGTGGAGGAAGGTCGAACTAAAGTTTCTTCCATACCGTCATTGAGCACCAAGCTCACCCCTCTCACGGCGAGCCTATCCTCAGCATTACTCGATGCACTCAGTGCGCCTGGGAACCGTAAGAATACTGCAGTAAGCCTCATTGGTCACTTGTTAAAGCTTGGACAAGGTCCAGCTGCGAGGTTGACATTCTTAAATGCACGAGCGGCGGCGGTGGACCGGTACGTCAGGGCCATCAAATTTGAAGGCCATGTCGGGATGTATGTGCACGATTTAGCTTTAGTCGTGTTTACCGGGATCAAGCACACAGCGGATTGGTTCCTCGCAGGCTTTGTAGAACATGATATGACTAGCAGTCAGTATTTATTAGCATTTTCCATGCGATCCTCTTTACTGATAAGCACCAAGCTTTGATCGACTGGGCCAAGAAACAGATCGAGATGTATGCTGAAAGGTTCAGGAAGCAGGTCTATAGTTCCGATGTTGAACAGCAGACTATTAAAGAAGCACTCAAAATCACATACAGTCAGAGTCGCAAGGTTTGTCCATGATCTTTCCGTCATCAATCTGTACCTGTCTTTCCTTCTCCCTGCTTGTGTGAACCATACACTTACATACTGTTCAGCTCCTACAAGAATTTGGCCTTGACTTCCGCTATCTCCTTGACGAACTTCTGGTCCAGGATCCCCAGACCAACGACACATGCGTTGTTTCCACTACATTCCATGCGCCTTCCCTAGGGCCCTCTATCTCACGCTCGCACACACCACAATCCACATCATCCTTTGTCTCTTCCTCAACGCCTCCCATACCTCCAATTCCACCTACCCCTGACTCGCCTGCTCGCCCTGCTACACGCTCATCAGCGCCTCTGCGCCTAGTCAGGCAGATGCATGACTCAGATCCTTCGTCGAGATCTGCACGGGATAGCCCAGCTCCTCCACCACGCTCGTCAGATCGTCCCGGGGGCACTAACAGACCCCCTCCAGTCGCAATTCCACAAAGGGAAGGGATGTTTTGACCACCTATATTATTAGTTCTCTTCGATTTCATTTGCCGGTCGTGGTAGGCATTTTAGTGCCTGAGACGGCAAGTGCCGAGGTATGATTCCAATCTCCAGCGTTCTATCGCGGATTAGTACCAGAGCTAGAAGAATAGACGGGACCTGGACTGGAATGACAATCTAGTGATCGCCTGTGCCTTCTTCAGATGTCACTTGTCTCCTACTCTGGAATTTGCACATCTGTCCCTGAAATATTTTGATGATTTGTACTCGTTCAGACTTGCACCCGCGTTCCCCATTCATTACGAGCATTTACTATGCAGACTCCAGAATCTTTCAACTTCCATACTGCCACATAGCTGGCTTCCACCGAAGGGACTGAGTGAATCATGGGTCCGTTCCGTGTTGAAATTGTTTACCTCGTGTTGTAGTGCCGCTAGGTAGGGGCTCGTGCCTGTTAATGATTTGCGCGTCTGGATCTCCATTTGAAATTTGACCAACCTTTAATCAAGGTTTTACGGCGAAGATGCGTCGACGTTTCTGATATCAATATTGATGTTGATACTCGTCTGGTTGGTCGTTGAAGGGGACTGGGAGATGATATCTCGAATATGTTTCATCACCTGTTCGCTCGTTCCTTAGATCTTCCAGCTCGCGCGTTCATTCAAGGAGTGTATATTATAATCAATGGATCTCTATATCACCATGACTATGATAACAACAACGACAATAGCGATCGTAATAGTGGGAATGAATGAATGAATGAATGATGTGTGTTATGTGATAGAGGATAAAAAGAATGAGTGTAGTGGGTGGAAAGAATGAACAGTATAGTATGTTGCGCGATAGAGGATAAAAGAATGTGTGTAGTGGGTGGAAAGAATGAGCGATTGTTATGCCATAGAGGATAAAAAGAATGTGTAGTGAGTAAAAAGAATGAAATGCCATAGAGAATAGAAAGAACGTATGGAGTGAGTAGAAAAATGGGCGACAGTAGATGATAAAACAAAAGAAATAGTGTGAAAGATAGCCACATCTCATGGAGGTCGTTTATCTCATTAGCCTCCTAAGATTCTGAGTCGGGATCGTTATCGTCACCATCTTCAGCGGCCGGCAGAGCGCCAACATCTTTCGACTGATCACATTTGCCATTGACGAAGTGTCTCTTGTAGGCATCAGCTCTCGTATATCTAATCACAAATATTAATGATGAAACGTGCTGATTTGATAGTTGGGATACGTACGTTTTGGAACAATCAGAGCATTTGAATTTCTCTAGTTTGAAGCCTAGGTGCTTTCGTGTCCTGAGATGCCTAGAATAGCTTTCAGGGTGGATTATCATGCCGTCCCTAGAACATGTGAATGTCCCGTTGGGTTGACCAGATTGATCTAACACGGGTGTCTATACCAAAGTTGAGAATACGACCTCACGAGGTAAAGAGAAAACTCACAAACAACGGGTCGTTCTTCATCCCGCCGGGGACTACTTTGCTTCGTTTGATGTCGCGCTCTATGTCTTTCGCGGTGCGCTTTGGTACTTGAGGGAGAGACGAGGAAGCAGATCCTGTTGCGAGCTCAGGCTCTTGATGCTGGTTGGGGCATCCTTGGTGCAGTATGGGTAGAATGCAAGGGTTCGCGACTGCTGGGAAAGAAATGGATGGGAAGGGTTGATGACGCATGAGGGGCGCGGATGGGTTTTGTGGGGGAGCAGCAGACGCATTTGGTGGTGGGTGTGGACCAGAACAAGTAGCACACGAGACATTGGCTACTGCAGGGGGGTGACAACCATTTTGTCCCGCTTGGCATGCATGATGCGCGGCTCCAGCACCCACACAAGGTGAAGGTGCGACGAGCACGTATGGAAGAGGAACACCGTACGGGTAGTAGGGGTATGTGGGTACATGGCATGGGTGAGGAATGCTTGCAGGTTGGGGGCAAGGAAATTGACCTACATGCATGCCAGTGTTTGGCATGCACTGTGTTGCATTGGAAGAATCGCAACCGTGCAATGAGCAGTGATTGGGGGTGGAATGAGTCATCTGGAGGCAAGAAGTAGATATAATTAGAAAGCGTAGGTGTTGAAGCTAGGGGATACACGCACCTGGGCCAGCAGAGAGTTGATTGAGATGTTAAGAGTATATGCACGAGTTCGCAGTGATAGTAAGTCTGTTGATCGGGGATAGAGTATGAAGGTCACCTTTATATGCTCGTCTAGCGCCGCTTTGAAGGTGGTGTTTCCACTGCAGGGGCCTTTCTTTCAGGGAACAATTTTTGTGCGGCGTCATTATTCATCAAATGTGACGGTGGTCTTTGAGACGATGCGTTCAGCTTTGCATCCACGCTTGAGTTATTCATTCTTGTTGCAAGTCCACAGAGTAAAAAGGGGGAAGCACGTTATAGATGCGCTGTAGATGTTTGGTCCCTCCTAAGGCTGACAATCTGATTGGAGATCTGAGGCCGATTCGCATGAGTGATGAGGTCCATCAGGTCCCTGCGAGCCATGTCAGTGCTTTGGGAGGAACGTCCTCGATGAAAGTGGTCCCAACTTAAACAAGGACGGAGAATGGGCCTATGCAATGAACGATGCCAAAGTAAATCTACACCTCTCGCATCACCTTCCAAACGCATGATTTCGGAGATGACTCACCAGCATCTGACTCGAGAAGACTCACGCAACGAGCGTCATGGGTAAGAATGCTACCACTGGATTTCCTGTTGAGTACTCACATTGCGACATCCCGTCGTAGATTCTGGCCCAACTTGACTCCTCTAAGCAAGATAGAGAAATAACCGTAATTTGTTTTCCTACTGTCAAAGCAACATGATCAAGTCGAAAGAAATCACGGTCTCAGTGCAACATTGACACAAAGGTGTGCCTTTACCACTGCACTGAAGTCTGAGGATCACTTTTTAGTGTCTGTATACGCGGTCCCGCCGGTCATGAAGTTTTGAAGTGTGACAAGACAATACCGGTAAATATGAAATCGCGTTATTGATGGACAGAAAGTGGTACTTGACGACACGGGGTACTTCTGATTCTGCAATGTATCATACAACCGACGCATGGGTACATGTAGGTAAGTACAAAGTTTTTCAAGGACTACCGCTCTATTTGTCAGCACAAATCCTACCATATAAGGCATGAGCTCTCGAGCGCTAACTGAGGCTGTTTAGTAAGTAGCATAGTCTAGAGTAGCTAGATCTTCTAGGAATTTGTGTACATCGAAATTGCTATCAGTATCTGCAATCAATTGGAGGGAAGGAAGAAGGGTTAAGTATTCCTCTCGTTGCTGTTCTGTTGAAGACACTCCACTGCCGAAAGCCAGGCGCTCCAGGGGACATTTTGACCGCGTCAAAAATGCCTTGAATTCTTCATGTGGCCATGACCCCATGTGGCGAGCTTCGATAACGCGAAGGTTAGGGAGTGTGACAACCTTGAATAGGCCAAGTTCCCCGCCTGAGCTCCAAAATACATCCCCAAATATATGTAATGATTGAAGGTTTGGGTGTATGATCGATTCTGGAGTTTGGATCGGGTCGAATATTCCCATCATCATTATAGAAGAGAGGTCGGGACATAGACGGAGTATGCGGGGGAATGCGTCTAGTTCAGTTATGTTAACCTCGATATGCGTGAGATGAGCCCACACGCAATCAGTGAAGAAATCTAATTGCTTGCGGCTGAGCAACAGATCTGTCATGTCCAGCGTGCGCAAATTCACTGGCAATTTCGAGAGAGAGCGTTCAATAGCTCCCTAAAGGATCAAAACCGTCTTGGTGTATTGTGAGCCCCTTGAGTGCGTGGAAGTCTTCCATCATGAAGGGGCCATTGCAAGTAGAAAATTCAAGTTCGAGAAAAGAGATTTGCTGAATGTATGGCCGGAGCAGGCTTTGTAGCTTGCTCCAGTTAGTGTAACACTCGAGTCTCAACGAGAGCAGATGTCCTCCTGATCGCTCGAGCCATAGGCTGTAGCAGAAAGCTCTCTGCTGCCAGTCATTGTGCTCGGCTTGCATCTGCAGCCTGCACCATAACATTGGAAAGCCCACAGCAACCTCCCTCCATCGTCGACATATTGTGGTCAACAGTATGGGAGCCAGCCGCGGTATGGGCGACAAATACCGGTCTTCGGGCAGACAGTATAGGAAAATTTCCGAGAGTATTTCTGTTGGCAGGCGCCACACAGCCGATGAAAATTGCCTGCGCGAAGTGTTGGACTGGATGATAGTGGCCTTCTCTTCAACAAGTTGCCGCTGGCGATAGCTAACAACATTCCCGACTTTTTGAAGGCACGAACTCTCGCGCATAATCGCGTCCAACTGTCGAGGTAGATGATTATTATTATATTCAGGAGAATAGCTCCAGAACCAAGCACTTACAGATTTCTGCGGCTCACCAATGGTAGCTAAGACGCGTGGTGAATCGACATTTGAGTTGTATGTTGGCATTTTTGATGCGAAGAAGATTGAAATATTGGACACGAGATGAAGATTCGAAGGAGGAAATATTTCTACTGTCCCGCGAATTGTCCGGATTTAAATTCAACAGTTGAAAAAAAGGCCCACAACAAACACACCTTTTTGTTATAATTTCTTGTTACAAATGTAGTCAGTGCGGGCCTGGACTCCTGTGGAACTATAGAAGGGCGATCTCGCTGAAGGGCTTCGGCACCACCACTACTACTAGTAGGCCATTTAAGACCTTTTCCTGGTACTCACAAAAATCTAGTTCAATTCGAGTCTTCTTTCCACCTATCCACATCCCTACCATACGTACTAAAGGACTGATTCCCTTTTCGTCAACCGTGTCCCCCCCCACTACAATATTTTCAGTACTACTTCGAGTCAGACTCTGGCATGATGTGCCACTGACAGCAGCTGGGGTCACGTGAAAATAACATCACGAATTAAACTTTCATTGATCATCGATCATCTTCCTGCGCGCAAACATGAGCAAACAACACGCAAACAATCAATGGCTTCGGCTGAATCTAAAAATAGGACATGCTGTATGCATAGCCATCATGAGGAGAACATGGAACGTGCCCATCATCGCTCTTCATCCTTGCTTATACCATCCTGGTAAGACCAGAATATATATGAGTATCAGACACAGATAACCCAACAATTACGATTGACTTGGCAGACAATAGTTAGTGAGTCAGCTCTTGAATGACTTGAAGTTCAAAATAATTCAAAGTCAGGCCTAGTCACCTTACAGCGCACGATGAGACCGCACTAAATACATCCATTAACCGACATACCTGACGAATACAGCTGTGATGGCTTCCAACTCGATGCAGCCTGGTGCAGGAGAAAACAAATCGATTCTGACACCAGTCATGACCTTGGAGGGACATGAACCATGGACACTGGATGATGAAGATGACGAGTTCACTGGCACAGAAGTAGGCTGCATTTCCTATTTTCCTGACAGCAAGCAAATGATCAGCGGATCATTTGATAAGACCATTCGGCAATAGGACCTGTGGGAGGGTAAAGAGATTCAGAGGTTCGGAAGGTTTTCAAGGATAATATTATACAGCGACATGCTGTCACGAGTACCTTTAACAAACCATTATTCTTTCCTGAATCTTCCTAAGCGCCAATACACAGCACCTAAGTCAAACCCTAACCCTATCCTGAAAGCGTCTATCATTCCTGAAATACCTTTAGCGCCCACAACACGTGTCTTCGATGTGACTGATGAAGAAGACGAGTTCTTTGATTGTGAATAGATTAGATTAGATAAGATAAGATAAGGTCACGTGATGCTTCTTTAATATTCTACAATGTTCTATGGTACGATTCCCTTTCTCTTTTTATGATTGGCTAGTAGTTGTAACTCAGTTTCAATCTCCGTCTCAATAGTTGTATATAGGTAGCATGTCTTGGTCGATAGTTCCTTAGTTCAAACCTCTTGTATCTACATTGTAGCAATCCAAGACGTACTTGCTCATCGTTCCTCTTGTCCGATAACCTTCGTTTGAGTCCTAGTCTCTGCCCAGCGTTAATTCGTTATTGGGTTGTGACACATGCAGTGAAAGTATCAAGTGACGGTCAATGGGTTATCACTGCTACTGAGGGGGAGCTCAAAGTTGGTGAGGTTGAGACGGAGATCGTGAGAACATTTCATTCAGATGATGAAATCGGATACGCGGGCCACCTGCGATATTGCGCCAGACAGCACCCTGCGAGCGCTACAGTCTAAAAAACTTGAGTCAGTAGATATAAGTTCAAAAATCGTTCTGAACAAGCCCGTCGTGGTTCTTCAAAGTTTATGTGCCTTTTAGATTTCTCAGAGCCAATTGTGATCACTGGGTCAATATACATTGCAGGAGTCTTCGAAGAGACTGTGATTCATGACCAGTCAAACCAAGGTGACGACCGGTCAAGAGTGATGAAAAAAGTGCTAAGGTCATCACTTACGAGGAGTCATTGACATGGACCATCGTTTATAAGGTTGGTTGTGCAGTGCATGCACAAAGCACAAAGCCCATGCGGTTGGTGTAAATTCAATACAAGGTACTAGATGTTACAATGCAAACTAAGTAGCGGAAGAAGAGGGAATACCTAGATGGTCTGCTGCTTTGGCACTAATGAATTGGTACAGGGGAAGTGACCTGTATATTAATTTCATGATCCTGACCCTACAATGCGGTCACATCAGACCGTTGTTATATTCAAACAGAGAACACGTACCCATGTCACAGTAAGCCGATCCTGTTCCAAGAATATACAGGGACAATCTGTCAGAAAAGGCGTGCGACAGACTGTTGCAATGAATGCACAAGTCGAGAAGATATCTTTACCGAAGGAGTCAGTCACCTGCTCCGACTTACAAATGCGGAGATCTGGTGGGTCAGGATCATTGATATCCGAACGAACAAAAACTCGCTTATTGAAGTCCCAGATGTGCACATAGAAGTAACCCTCAGTGGCGAGCCCTTTCAGTGTTTGACCTGGATCAGGAATATAATCTTGGGGAAGGGCATAGGCCATTTTGCTGCCAAACATGCTGATTTCGCGAGATTCATGACGGTAGCTTTTGTGGCGCCGAAAGTAATGCGTATGTTGAGGTCCCCAGTCTGACCAAGGAATCTCAGCAGGCATATCTGAGTGCAAGGCCATGTCAGAGAAAATGGCCATATCAATGACTAGGATAGCATTCCGTGCTTCGGAAAGAAACTGTAGAACCATAATCTGCACCTCCAGGGAGGGCACATAGCTGGGCATGAGTCCTGGGCGTGCTGCTTTGCCAAAAAATGATGGGTGGCCATGGATAATGACTTCGTCTGTGGGTAGATGGCAACTCTTAGGAAGGTGATATGTAATTCGGTGCTGAGGCGGCCCATCGAGCCCTTGTAACGTGTACAAGTATATCAAGTCTGAACCAATGATAAAAAACTTCTGTTCGTCGATTGGATGGAAATTGTAATGGTGCCAAATTTTTTCCTCTGGTTGACATAAAAATTGCTACTTATGTTGAGCAGCAAGATTTTTCCAAACAGAGAGAACTTATGCTATATGCAAATCCCTTCCTCCAATCAATGACTTGTATGAACATGCCGGATACAAACCAGTCATCTATGCCCTCTAGGCAATAAACGACAAATACACGATCACCACAGATTATAGGCAGATCCAAAGCAGCATAGTAATAGCCAGGTGCATCAAAGGTATGTCTGCACTCCAAGGAAGCACATGCAGCATCCGGATGTGGACGCTGGGATGAAGCCAGTTGAAATCCAACAGACATCGTGATCTTGTTCTGCACCAGTCATGACACAATCATCAGGCCCAGAAACTACAACCATAAGATCCTGCAGAGGGTCGAAGGCATCATACAACAGAGTCCAGTGTCATGGAAATATATCATGGATAGACCACCTGGGGTAGAGTGTGGGATTCGTGTTGCAATCCTGAATGTAGAAATTGTCCACTGTATTGGGTGACCACCAAAGCCCACATTTCACAGATTGGAGTAGCCATGGCAACGGAATATTTACGGGAACCACTGCTTCAAAGGTGGTGGTCGCACGGAAGTCAGATTGCCACAAAGATGCCAATTTCTTGAGCGAACACAGAGTCTTTCTGGAAACACCGATTGAGCTCATGGTAGTGGTCTCAGTACTGATCAAGCCCTGAGCATAGATTTCAAGCTTGTATTGAATGTGGACAGAATTCTGGACCACAAGTGAAAAGGTATTGCAGGTCTAGTATGATTAAATGTTAGCCCTGGAGGACATATGGAACCAAGCAGACCATTGCACAGCGACTAATATCCCTGGGGCTAAGAAGGATTAGAATGTGGCATATGAGCTCTGTAGGAAGTGACAAGAATCCAACCGCCATGATCATGGTTGTGAACATCAGCAAAACCCTCCTGGGCTAAATATCAGTGATTATCGACAATTATTGACGGATTACTCAAAAAGCAACTGATTTCAAGGATCACATAGATTATGTTACCCCAAGAAACTTTGACAGAAATGTTTCTAACCATTAGCTATTTGACTAATTTGTCGAGCATTCAAAAGACCATCCATTCAAATTTCGGCATACAATGTTCACCAATTTTCCCACCATCAGACAGCATTACACGAACAAATTAGTTTTTGATTAGAAAAGAGTATGTAATAGCTAGTAATGACCAGAATAGAGACATATCAATCAATGCTGCGAGTCTCGACAATCTTTGAATCACATAGGTACACCAAAAGAGCAGATTCCCGTCACTAGTCCTCCTCCATACCCTCAAGGTCAAGCAGTTCGAAGGCATTCAGCTCGATGTGATCCCCAGTAGCGCCATTGTGTTTCAACTTACTGTAAGCCAAGTGACGAGTCAGTAATGAGCATTGAGGACTAAGAACACTCACTGTGCAGCCTCGTAAATATCTGCCATCATATAATGGAACTTTCCAGGTGCATTGTGCTTCAGCTGTTCGAGGGACTTGACGTGGTAGCTGTAAACTTTGCTGAATTGGTTTCCAGAGAAGTTGAACTTCCCTGGAGAACCAAGCGACTTCCATAAAAGAGCGGAATAAACCTATGAAAAGTTGAGCAGCATATTCACAGAGTAAAGACAAGCACACTACCACTGTTGCCACCAGTGCGAGGAAGGGTATCGGAATTTTGGGACGCTTCAACTTGTTCTTGGCAATTTCGACAAAGCATGACGCAAATTTCATGCCAACAGCCCTTGAGCTATGAAAGAGCTGGTTAGATAACAACACGAGGAGTTCACCCTGATAGGGCCTGTTCCTGATGGGCATGGCATTATTGTTGACCTGAAAAAGAGGTACAACTATCAGTGACAGCCAGCGAAAGTGTAATAGACTCACATCGAACTTCATCGCATAAATGTAAACTAGCTTTTCCATCATTTTTTTCGCCTTTGCAAAGTCCTTGTGCCCAAGGCGGAAGTAGCCATCAACGTTTGTGCAAGCATCATATTTCAGCTCGTGGCGCATTATTGGGATGCATGCATCGACCTAAGATAAATTAAGGTCAATTAGAAATATCCTGGGTAAGCGCTGCAACTGAATCAACTCACCAAGGCACCGAGCTGTAAAGCATACAGCTCATCTACTTGAAGATGTTCTTTGATTGCGTGCATGCCATGTTTCTCGGCAATGGTCAACAAAGTTTGCATCGAGAGCTGGTTCTTTTCGACTAATTCGGGGTACCCATGGACAAAAATCACATGGCACTTGACTTCAGAGATTGCGGCTTGAATGACCTGGCGAGTCTGTAGATTCTGATCGAGAAGTTTGACTTTGCCTTTCTCGGTTCGAACAAGCAAGGCAACACTCCTTTTTGCAGGGGCTCGGACAAGTTTTGGGTTGACAGCACCTTCGTTGTCAGACTCGGAGGAAATTGACAATTCACCACCAGTACTAGTCATACTTTCAATGGACTCTGAAACAGCATCATCAATATCACCCCAGGTTGGAGTCTAATGCATTGAGGACAATAATCAAAGAAAAAAGTATTAAAATTCAACAGTACTCACCTCCGTCACTCATTTCCGATCACCAGCAGATAGTAAGCGATCTGCACCAGAGTCAGATACTTTTGAAGACTTCCGAGGTTTCTGGTTGTTTGTGACAAGTAAAGCAACCTTTTTTTTGTGAGGACTAATGATGTTGACCAATTGTTAAAGAATTACTCACCTCATCTGAAAGCATACTCGCAGCTGCATCTAAGTCTTCATCTTCTTCGAACTCATCATTGAGACCTGCATTACTGTCACTGTCACTGTCACAGTCAGCACCTGCATGGACATTGCGCTGAGCATCATCCGAGTCAACATCACTCTGCTCAGGCTCATGTTCAGAGTCTGGTAATATGATGTTGACATCTTGCATGGCAAAAGTGCGACGAAGTTTGCTTGGCCGCCGATAATGGGACGCTGTGCACACTTGACTTGTAAGACTTCCTTTTTGGCCAGTAAACAAGATGACTAACCTTTCTTATCTGCTTCACTAAAGCTATCATGTTCACTCGCATCTGACTCGGATTTGATGCGCTGATGCTCTGCGCAAAAGAAAACATCAGTAAGTGGCAATTTTTGTCATGCATGAAACACATGTACTCATTGAACTTGAAGTTGAAGGTTTATGCCCCAGATTACAAGCTGATTTTGATACACTGGCACTGGGAGCTTTCTTTTTCGTGGCCAAGCCTCTTGCGCCTTGCTCAGCTGACAAGTTCTGTTGCTTGTGTGAGTCCTGCTTCCACACTATTTTCAGGTTAGTACTGAGTTTTGCTTGCATGCTTCTCACTCACCTGCATTCTCCAAAGCCTTCATTTTTGCGCCACGTGGTGCCAACTCTATGGAGGTCATTTGAGCGCCTTGCTCAGCTGACGAGTTCTGTCGCTTGCGTGAGTCCTGCTTCCACACTATTTTCAGGTTAGTACTGAGTCTTGCTTGTGTGCTTCTCGCTCACCTGCATTCTCCAAAGCCTTCGTTTTTGCACCGCGTGGCACCAACTCTATGGAGGTCCTTTGAGACAGTCTCTGTGCTCGTCTTTATGGACACTTACTCCGAGGTACGGTCATTTTTACTCGATCAGATGGGACTTAAAAAACTAAAACAACTATTAGGGAACAGAAAATTAGGACTGTTAGGAAGCGTAAATGCTGGGGACTGGTAGGGAGTGTGATTGACAGAGACTGGTGTTACAAGAACATCTAGACGCTTGGGCCCCTACCATTTTTCTCCTAATCCTCCTCGTATTGGCTCTTGCATCATACCCTTACCCCGACCTTACCCTGGTCATCCTTGTCATCCTCGCATTCCCCTTCGCTCTCTACCTATCGCTTCAGCAGAGCCAGTACATCTGGCCAGATCCTTTCACTGACGAAGCATACCCATGCTCCGTTCCACCACCTGACTGATCCTGTGGACAGTCCCCTTGCCCTTACCGTCCGGACGGTAACCTATGATATGATGCATGACGCATCCCCTTTGCCCCTTTCCCTTTCCTGATCTCTGACTCAGTGCGCAGTCACACATTCGACTTATAGATAGCTCCGCAGCTGCACGATCGTGCCCCTGCGCGTTTCACTTCTTATTTCGACCTTTGACTCACTTTCTTATCCAGCACGTTCTGCCTCGCCCATGTCTCAACACGAACATGCCTTCCTTTTATGGTTATCCCCTTTACCGATTGCTTCTCTTGGTAGTACGAGTTATCATCCACTAATACTTCTCCTGTCCTCTATATAAACTCGCTACCATGTACTATATTCCCTAACTTGAATCTACTTGGTTCTTGACCTCCTACTCTCACCAGAGTGATCCTTTCTGCCTCGCCAGCAGTCTATATTCTATCTTCTTATCTGCTCTTCGCGGATAAGCCTATAGTCTCGATCTTTACTCATCGACTTCGTCGACGAGCAAAGCCCCTGTTAACTAGTCGGACTTCTGTCCTTCTAATTAACGATGATCTTACGATTAACCTTCGGGTGTCGTAAGCCTTGGCCGATATAGCTTATTGTCTCACACCCGCTTGACATAAGCTACCCGATTTGGACATAGGCGTCAAATCTTACTTGCTGAAGCCTCGCCAAGTAAGACCCCTAACCTTGGGCTAGCCCAAGGACGTCCTCGACCATTGACGACACACACTCTGTTTGAGCATCGCCAACAGATACCATCCAAGTCGTAACAACTGGTAGGGAGTGTGATGAAGGTAAGAGTAAAATAAATTGAGTTTCGGAATGGAGTGTACTAAATTTTGTAGTCATGCTGCCGCACGCATCTCGGACACAGTCTGTCCCTGACTTGACTTTAGGTGGGTTAGCACTCTCAAACAATTACCTCAGGCTGACCCTCTTCTGCTTTCGCCCTCTTATTCACTCGTTTTCTTCAGTATGAGCCTCCAGACGTGCCCAGCATGTGGCCGTAACAATTTCACTGTCACTGGCCTTAGCCAGCATCTTGCAAAGAGTCGTGACTCCCAGTGTCAAGCACTCTACAGGAATTCACGCTCGCGAACAAACCCAAATCCAGTCTGCAAAACTACCGAAAATTTTGCACCTGAGTCAGGACATCCCAAGGTTTGCCACTTACTTTGGTTAATTTGAAGCTGAAGGTTCTGACCACTCTTACTCTCAGTTTGACTACTCTGGCTACTTTGAAGCTGAAGGTGACGACTTTGACAATGATGTTCATCTGGTGAGTTTTCTTTGGTTGATTTGAAGCTGAAGGCTCGGTTCTGAATCCTCTCGTTTTCAGGGAGAGGATAGCGACTCTGACAATGATGGTCATCTGGTGAGTTTACTTTGGTTAATTTGAAGCTGAAGGTTTGTTACTGAATCCTCTTGTTACCAGGGAGAGGACATTGATGAATCCTTCTTCGAACCTGAATGGGAGGTGCCAGTGCCATCACTACCTGATGACGGCACCTTCGATGATACCAATGATACCGAAACTCACAAAACTCGCCAGGACATTGAGGCTCGGGCACAGGGGCAGCATGGATGTGTGGTGGTGCCTTATCCTGACACACGCGCTGGTCAAAGAACATCACAACATTCACCGGGTCAGTCTGCAAATGTGACATATGGAGCCCAACTGGTTGATGACGAGAACAATGAGAATATTTACTACCCATTTGCTTCGAAGATTGAATGGGAGATAGCACGATGGGCCAAGCTTCGTGGATCAAGCTCTACTGCATTTACAGACTTGCTCTCTATTGACTGGAGTGAGTTATTTTCTTTGTTGCACGTGTATCTAATTGACAACAATACTACTAGGTCAGCGAACACTTGGGACTGTCATTCAAAAATGCGAATGAGCTTAATAAGTTGATAGACCACGAGCTTCCAACAGGACGACCTAAATTCAAACGAGAACAAGTCGTCGTACACTGGAGAAGCATTCGATGTATACTACCATGATATCATCGAATGTGTGAAGTCATTATATGGTGATCCCGACTTCGCTAGATATCTCACATTTGCCCTGGAGCAGCACTATGCCGATGACGACAAGACTGTTCGTTTGTTCCACGACATGCATACAGGGCAAATGGTGGTGGGAAACACAGGTATGTTAAACTCGTTATGATATCAGACTTCATTACTTAATGTCTTTAGAAAAAACTCGATGCACATTGTCCTGGCGGAACTATAGTTCCAATCATCATTTCCTCCGACAAAACACAAGTGATGATGTTTAGCAACAAGACTGCCTACCCTGTGTATCTTACAATTGGCAACATACCGAAGGAACTTCAGCGCAAGCCTTCATCTGGTAGCCACATCCTTCTTGCATATCTGCCAACCAGCCACCTCGAACACATTACAAACAAAGCATCTCAATGTCGTGCTATCGCAAATTTGTACCATGCGTGTTTGCGCCATGTGCTTGCTCCGCTCAAATTTGCTGGATCAGAGGGCATTTCCATGCGTAGCGGTGATGGTGCCATGTCGTCATTGCCATCCATTATTCGCAAGTTTTGTTGGTGACTACCCAGAACAACTCCTGACTACAGGTGTCAAGTTCGGAGAGTGCCCAAAGTGCGATGTTGAAGCCAAGGACACAGGAAGTAATACAACACCTTTTCACTTGCGAAAACTTAGGGAGGTACTGGACGCACTCGCTGCATTCGACGATGGCAATTTAGCATTTGTTCACGCATGTGCTGCAGCTGGCATCAAACCCATCATTCATCCTTTTTGGGAGGATCTTCCTTTTGCAAATATCTTTCGCGCTATCACACCAGATGTCCTGCACCAGCTATATCAAGGTTTGATCAAACATCTTCTCGGATGGCTGTCATTAGCTTGTGGAGGGGCTGAAATTGATGCCCGTTGTCAACAACTCCCTCCAAACCATCATATTCACCTATTCACTAAAGGCATCACTTGCCTGTCACGCGTAAGCGGCACCGAACACGCTCAAATATGCTGCTTCATCCTTGGGATCATAATCAACATCCGCTTGCCCAACAATCTTGATGCAGGTCGTCTGCTTCAAGCAGTGCGGGGCCTACTCGACTTCCTGTATCTCGTGCAATACCCTTGTCACAGCTCAGAGACGCTTCACTCACTAGACGAGGCATTGGACCTTTTCCATGAAAACAAGGACATTTTTATTCAGCCTGGTATCCGAAATAATTTCAACTTACCGAAGTTGCACGCCGCACGTCATTACCACCTCATGATCACGTTGTTTGGTACCACGGACAACTACAATACCGAATACACTGAACGCCTCCATATTGACTTAGCAAAGGATGCTTACCGTGCTACCAACCACAAGGACGAGTTCGTTCAGATGACGCGCTGGCTCGAACGAAAGGAAAAAGTTTTAAGGCACCAGAAATATGTTAGTTGGTGTCTTGCTGATGGCCACCAGTTCGAGCCGTACCATTCACGTCCTCCAGATATGACATTCCGTCGCGAACAAGTGATGACGAAACATCCTACTGCGAAGGCTGTCAGTATTCAAAAATTGGTCGAAGATTACGGTGCGACTCATTTTCGCGAGGCCCTCGCACACTACATTGTGCACAAAAGTTGAGGCAATCATCCTGTCCTGCTCCAGGATCGAGCACTTGATCAATTGGCGGGTGACATTCATTTTCCTTTCCACCGTCTACCCGTCTTTCACAAGATCAAGTGGTGCTCAATTGACACTGGTGGTTTAAACAAGGAACATGTTACCTTGGACAGCGTCCATGCAAAACCTCAACAAAAGTTAGGCTCTCGTCTCATTCATCGGCGCTCTGACACTGTTTTCATATGCCTTGGTGAAGACTCAGTTACAAATGATCTCGAAGGTGCGTGATTCGGTGCCATTTGATTGACTCGCTGCTCACTGACTCGTTAGGTTTCGGTGTCGGCCAAGTTCGTGTTATATTCTCCCTGCCCCCAAAGTCTTTACAATTACTCTTTCCGCCCACTGTCAACATTCCTCCTCACCTTGCATACATTGAATGGTTCACTCCCTTCCCATCCGCTCCAGATCGAAACAACGGACTTTATAAACTGTCGAGATTGATGCGAGGTGGTGACAGGGTAGCTAGTATCGTGCCGGTGGGTGATATCGTGCGTAGCATCCATCTTATACCGAAGTTCGGAGACTCGGCTCCACGAGAATGGACAAGCGAGACCGTTCTTGAGGACTGTAATACGTTTTGGGTCAACTCATACATTGATAGACACACTTTTTCGATATTCAGATAATCCTTACTAATTCTCTTCTGTTGCGAAACAATTTGATCTTGCAGCTACGTTGTTGTCAACTTTGGTTCTAAACACGAGTGATTAAGAAAAATTAGACTAACTTTCAATATTACACGAATTTAGCCCAGGAGGGTTTTCCTGATGAAGAAGAGGGGACTTCGGATTTGAAAATTTTAGTAGGCCAAACCCTCTCCTTTTCTGAGTCACGTTGACAGAGCGAGTGGTATTAGTATGGGCGTCACTGTCACTGTGACAGGGAGGTGGGGGTAACTTGTAGTAGGACGGTCCATTCAAGATCAATATTAGTGGGGATAATTATGACCCAATGGCACTTCGATTCTCGCAAGACTCTCGAGCTCGGAAGCTGGCGGTGTTGGCAGATTATGGAGGTGATCTTCAGGTGTGGGATGTCCGGGCACAGAAGTTGGTTGTATGAAAATCTACTCTTAGCGATTTCAAGATTCATTTGCCGGTCTTCTGGACTACAAAAACCAAATCCATTGTAGCCGCATTCAACCTCACGCGCACAGATTGGGATGGCTTCGCCAAGACAATCTATGAGTTTGACGCGTCCACGCTCAAGACCATTGGAGCTCCTTTCAAACACGCTGATTACATCCGTTGTCTAGCACTCTCATCTGATTGTAGTCTTCTTGCCAGCTCTTCCTCTGATAACACCATCAAGCTATGGATGTTCGAGTCCCGCCAGCTCCTCGCTTCATTCGATATCAAATCTCCCATGATCCTTGTTCTCTCGCCTGATTCGCGTCAACTGTCTTACACGTCTGGGGATGACAGCAAGATCTATATATGCAACATTCCGGCCAATATCCTTGCTAGCATTGGGCTTGAAGAACTGCACCCTGGTGTATGTATTCCCCGCATACATACATCACTTGTATGCTAACATATCTGACAGAAGTAAATCTGAACGTTCACCCCATGCTGATTTACTTAATGTACGTGATTCTACCATTTCCTTTATCTACACCACATTGTTCTTCGTTACAGTTCGATGCAACACCCTGTTTTGTGCGCCGTAAATCAGTAATAATACCTGTCATGTCTCCCATCCCCCGACCTTTGCCTACCAGGGATCCACATGCTCACCTCCACTTTCTGCGCAAGCTCTTTTCCTCTTCTCGCACAGACACGGTTCGCACCGATAAGCCCTGTAATCCCCTGGATGTATGTTTCTTTTATCTGTTTGCTTCTTAATTGACTCGACATTTTCCCTCGCAGTTCCCTGCTACATCCCCCCTGCCTCATCCGCTTATAACACCAGACAAGAATGTGAGTGCGAACTGTTGTAATCCCACATTCGTCTTACATTCTTTAGTCTCGGTCCACACCAGCACCACCCACCACTCAATCGTCCACCATCAATACTCCCGCAACCCCTAAAACCAGCTTACATCAATTACCAACCTGGCAGCCCTTTCAGACAGATGCATCACCAACTATCGTCGATGTTCCTCTCGCGCCGGGTAAACTGGTATGCGTGTTCTATTTCTTTTGTCGTATTCCAAGCTCATCCATCCATGTATAGCGGTACGCTGCAGCGGGTGCTCCCGGCCCTGAGCGTGATCTGATACGCGACGAGGATTATGTTTCTCCTTCTGCCTCTCCAAGTCACGGCTCACACCCAGGGATTGACAATTCTGGACAGCATGGAAGCGGCCGATGTTGTTTCTGTTTTTAGCTGACTGGTTCCTTGGTATCTTGTTGCCGTAATTGCTGCTCGATGCTCGTTGCATATGTTATCCTATCTACACTCGTCGAATTTATGATAACTACTGGCTAAAGCGCTTGACACTCTCGATTGTCGATCCTGTCCAGACTCTGGTGTCTACAGCGGTCCGAGATATTGCCCCCACGCTGCCATTCCTCATGAGCATTCACTATCCAGATTCCAGAACCTTCCAACGTTAACCTCCTTGACAGGCTCTTCATACTCTCTCAGAAATTCGACGTTTCTGATATTAATGTCGATCTCATGTCAAATTCGTCTTTGGAAGTGACTGGGAGGTGATGTCACAGATCGTGTGATCTTACCTGTTCAATTGTTCCTTAGATCTTCCAGTTCGCGCGTACATGCAAGAAGTGTGTATTACAACCGACGAATCGCCATATCACCATGATGAGTCAACAATAGCGATCATAGTAATAGTAATCGTGATGGTATGAATGAAGGGTAGTGCGCTATGCCATAGAGAATAGAAAAAATGTGCAGTGTGTGGAAAGATAATAGTACATGAATGAATGATAACAGATAACAAAACAAAGAAACAGTCAGTTACAGAAGTGAAATATGACTACTTCTCAAAAGCGTCCTTGAACTCATAAGCCTTCCAAAAATTAGCGTAGTCGTCTTCTCCAGCGGGCTCTGTGGCCATGTCATTCTCTAGCAATTGAGATAGTGGTGAAGGATCAGCGAGACTGGGTGTTTTACGCGACTGCGCAACACAATCTGCTAGGGGTGCGATCTGCATGTTCGGGGACATCGATGTGGCGGACGTGGAGCATGGGTGGGAGTTAGTCAACGCCATGGTAGGTGCTGCTGTCACAGGCGTGGCAGGAGCGGAACTCGTCGAGTTCTGACTAGCCGAGCACGACGGTGGAGCGTTCGCATCTGTCGACTGTCCGCACTTGCCATTGACCAGGTGTCTCTTGTACGCATCTTTTCTCGTATACCTGATCACGTCAATATTAATGACGAGGCACGCTGGTTTCGATAGTTTGGATACGCACGTTTTGGAACAATCAGAGCATTTGAATTTCTCTAGTTTGATGCCTAGGTGCCTTTGTGTCCTGATGTGTCTGCGATAGCTTTCAGGATTGAGTACCATGCCGTCCCTAGAACACTTGTATGTCCCGTTGGGTTGACCAAAGTGATCTAACACGGGTGTCTGTACCAAGGTTTGAGAATGCGACCTCATGAGGTGAAAAGAAAACTTACAAACAACGGATCGTTCTTCATCCCGCCGTAGACTTTGTTTCGTTTGATGTCGCACTCTATGTCTTCCGCACTGTGTTTTTGACCGACTGGGGAACTTGGTACTTTAGGGAGAGACGAGGAAGCAGAGCCCGTTGTAAGCTCAGACCCGCGGTGCTGGTCGAGGCATCCTTGGTGCGGCATGGGTGGAACGCAAGGGTTCGCGGCTCCCGGTTGAGAAACAGACGGGAAGGGTTGATGGTACAGGAAGGGCGCAGATGGGTGTTGTGGGGGAGGAGCAACAGTAGCTAGCGGTGGGTATGGACCAACATTAGTGGCACACGCGACATTGGCTCCTGTAGGAGGATGACAACCATTTTGTCCCGGTTGGGACGCGTGAGGCGCAACTCCAGCACCCACACCAGACGAAGGTGCGACGGGCGCGTATGGGACATGCGTCCCATTAGCTGGAACGCCATACGGGTATTGGGGGTGTGCAGGGGCATAGCCTGGATGAGGAATGCATGCGGGCTGGGGCCAGTGAAATTGGCCCATATACATGCCGGTGTTCGGCATATATTGGGTTCCGTTGGAATAATCGGAACCGTTCGATGAGGAGACAGGGGTGGTGGATTGGTTCATCTGGAGGCAAGTAGGTGTAATTAGAAAATATAGGTATTGAAGCTGGAGCTACACGTACTTGGGTGAGCAGATAGTTGATTTTAATGTCAAGGGGATGTGCGCGTGTTCGCAGTAGCAGTAAGTGCAGTGAGTTGGGGATAGAGGATGAAGGCTGTAGAAGCAATATTTATACGCTCGTCCAGCGCCGCCGCTTTGAAGTTGTCCTCGAGATGTCTCCACTGCAGGGGCCCTCCTTTCAGAGAACATTTCATGTGGACCACCATTATTCACTAAATAGGACGATGGTCCTTTAGCACGATCCATCCAGCTTTGCATACACGCTTGACTTGTTCATTCTTGTGGCAAGTCCGCAAAGCAAAGACGAGAAATAAGTTATGGATGCGCTATTGATGTTTGTGCCCAGCTGAGGCTGATAATCCAATCAGAGCACCATATCTTATCTTCTGGCTCCGCGAACAGTTGAATAACCGTAGATCCAAGGCTAATTCGCATGAGTGATGAGATTCATCAGGTTTCTGCGAGTTATACCGGTACTTTAGGAGAAACAGCCTAGATGGACGGGTCAACAACTGGAAAAAAGAGCGAACCTAGGCGAGGTGCAATAGGCTTGACGCAAACGTCTCGTATTACCTTCCAAAGGCGTCATTTTAGAGACGGCTACCAGCATCCGACTGAAGGAGACTCAAGCGCCAAGCGTCTCGAACAAGGATATTATCAATGCATTTCTTTGCAAGCACTCACACTTTTAATCGGTACATCGCAACATCACATCGTAGATTCTGACCCGGTTGACTCTTTTCCACAAGAAAGAGAACCGACGGTAATTTTGTTTCCCTACTTTCCAAACTACTTGAAGGAAACCGCCGTCTTGCAACATTGATCGACTCGCGCAAAGGTACGCCTTCGCCACCCTACTGAGAGCCTACAACTGATCGCTTTTTAGTATTTGTATACGTGGTCATGAAGAGTAACACGACAACACAAAAGTCAAGGAACTTATTTTGGCCCGGAAGAGGATGGGCGATAGGGTTAACGGTAAAGGAGCAAAAGTTCACTTACCTATGTCATAGACTCGAGGAAGTACCAAAGAACTTCTTCATCCTTTAATAATGGTCTCTGGCATTACTTTGCACCGCTACAGCTCACAAACACAACGCAGAAGCGGCATCTGCAAGCCCTAACGCGACCTGAGTCTAAAAATCTGGATCGGATGGAGTAACAACATGCGCAAGGAAATTCGTTATCGGTGAGCAGAAAGTGGTACCGGAGGAAACGGGTTTATTTTTTATTTCTGCAATGTACACCGAGCGCACTGGCATAGGCTTTCGAAGTGCGGCCAAACGTCGGCCAGATGATCTTTCCAGTCACAATCACTCCGGGTTCAGAGCCTTTCAATACCAATGAGTTTCAACCATAGGTGAATATCACTTATCATTTGGTTGTCATACGACCTTCCCATTCTTCTCCTGCCAGTGCGCTTTACAGCTTGCGGTGGGCAGTAGGTGTCAAAAATCCTGTGCATCATTTTTGATGAAATTGATACTTGCTGAGGTTGTTCTGGCATGGACTTGGCAATGGTTGTAGATATGACGACAGAGACACGCATTTGAGATTCATCCGTGTAGCAGAATTACATGAAGAGGAAAGAAATTCAAAATAAGATTGTTTGGGGTCAGTAATAGCATCCGAATCCCGATAAGCTCTTGTTCCGAAAGTATTGTTCAGTTGGTTGGTTCAGCTTCACGTTTACACACTATCTTACAGGCCCATGCAGAACTCCTCAAAAATGCGACCTGGCTGAATCTAGTGAGCTTTCAAATGAGATCAAACCGGCTCTTCGTTGTCTCAGCGCAAGATTGTAGCCTTCAGTTTTTAACCCGTGGTTTGTAATTCTACTATAAACTCTTCTCGCAGGCGAGTCACGATCGTGCTCTAAATTTCTTTTGCACCCTGGCACATGAGGACCACGTGGGTGAACTAAAGTTACATGTTGCGGATATGATAGGTCATGATGTACAGTGCACAGCCGTCTGGGAGATACAATTGAAGACGTGGGATGCGTGTCCTTATGAACATTATCGCTCTTTGTCCTCGCTAACATCCTGGTAAGACCAAAACCATATGAGCATCACGCACGGATAAACTGACGAATGTTTTGAGCAAAGTGCGCCAGCTCACGAACGAGTGAGAATTGGACATTAGTCAAGGTCAAGCCTAGCCGATACAGAGCATTATCAATCGTGCAAGGAGAGCCCACCGAATACAACCATTATCCGACATCTTGCCAGTCTGTCTGGCCAATACAGCTGTGATGGCTTCCAGCTCAACGCAACCCGGTGCAGCAGAAAACAACTTGATTCTGACGCCAGTCATGACCTTGGAGGGACATGAACTATGGAAGCCTCTCCATCCCGAGCCGGACGGTGAACATCATGAGTACAAATTTATTTCGTACATTTCCTATTTTCCCGACGGCAAGCAAATGAACATGTATAGTGCTGCCGCGGTCCGGTTCTCCGCGGTTCGGTCCACGGTTCTCACACCAGCCAGAACCGGACCGGAAAATGGTTCTCGGTTCTAGGTCTTCCCCAACGGTCCCGTTCTGGTTCGGCAAGGCCGAACCATTCCGAACCGTTATCGACTTCGACTTCGACTGTGACAACTTCGGTCTCCACGTCAAACTGTTGTCTTCGGGATTTGCACTACTGGTTAATCAGGCTACCTTTAGCCTTTTTGAAGGTAAGTACTAATCAATCAAACTCTCCACCTGCGCCTATGTTGATTTATGTATGTTTGTACTATGTATATCATGGCTTCAGCGACCCGCGGGTTCACCCGTGCTCAACCCTAGAGAGTCCGACTCTCTTTACTCTCATTTACGATGATCGTAATTATTGCATCCATTATTATCGCTTGCCCTCTGACTTTGCATCTTTTTTTCGTTGGCACGTCTTTCGTTACATGTTTTTCTGGTCCCCTGAGTTCCTTATACATTCCCTCGATCTCTAACACGCCATTCAGTCACATTTCTAGTACACTGAGGCTCTTGTCACGCTCTCCATGGCATGTGAAGCTGGATTTCTAACGCCCACTCCTAGTACTTGATATTCATCGTTTCTATTGCCCTCAGTGGCATAGAAAAAAGTCCTGTCATGTATAGATGAGTCACGTTATCAAATCCAGGTAAACTACTGATACTCACGCAAAGCCCGTCTCGGCAGCCCTTGCATGCACCGTCATCAAAGCAATGCTTAACACATTTATCGTCAGCCGCCGCGTCAGTGGGCACGGCGAAGATTAATGATGCTGAAGCAATGGCGAGGACAATCGCATAAGAGAAACGCATTGTTTGGTGTAATATGGGATAAGATAATTCTGAAGAAAATGGTAAGAAGACGACTGGGTTTTATGTGCTGAATATTCCTTTCTTCTCACTAGGGTATACTCGCGTGTCGGAGGATCAGAGTTTTCCCGTACTAACCCGCGGTACAGCAGCTATTCCAAATGACCCAATAGGATAATGACATGGGCATTACAAATTCTTCGTGGAGATTCGGAGTGGGAACAAAAATTCAACTGAGATGTTACCCGATTCAGATTGTTGTGCGCCACGACAGGTCACAGTCTGCCAGGTCATGTCGACGATATCGATATGAGGGTTGTGGTGTGCCACCAAGGTGACGGGTGACTCCGCTCGAAAAGGCAACTGCGCGTCACAAAGCAACCCGCCGGTAAACGCTTGGGTGATGCCATCGTCTTGGTGGAGTACATAGACAGGGAGGATAACCTAGTGTTGCGGAAGTCCGGTTTGGTCCGGTTCAGCAACAAATTTTGCGAATGCTGAACTGGACGCCATGAACACGTTCATGGCATCCAGTTCATGTCCGGTTCAGCGTTCGAACATCGAACACATTGTAAATATACTCGATTGTACTATAGCTAGTAGTAAGGAGTACTGGTACACTACTGTGAAGCAAGGCCAAGTGAAATTAATGCAAGGCAAGACTAAAGATCAGTAAGGACAACAGAAAGGTCGTTTTCAGTTACATGAGCGAGGGGCTCAATACGAGCGGCTGTTACAAGAACATCTAGACGCTTGGGCCCCTACCATTTTTCTCCTAATCCTCCTCGTATCAGCCCTCGCATCATACCCTTACCCTGACCTTACCCTGGTCATCCTTGTCATTCTCGCATTCCCCTTCGCTCTCTATCTGTCGCTTCAGCAGAGCCAGTACATCTGGCCGGATCCTTTCACTGACGAAGCATACCCATGCTCCGTTCCACCACCTGACTGATCCTGTGGACAGTCCCCTTGCCCTTACCGTCCAGACGGTAGCCTATGATATGATGCACGACGCATCCCCTTTGCCCTCTTCCCTTTCTTGATCTCTGACTCAGTGTGCAGTTGCACATGCAACTTATAGATAGCTCCGCAGCTGCACGATCGTGCCCCTGCGCGTTTCACTTCTTATTTCGACCTTTGACTCACTTTCTTATCCAGCACGTTCTGCCTCGCCCGTGTCTCAACGCGAACATGCTTTCCTTTTATGGTTATACCCTTTACCAATTGCCTCTCTTGGTAGTACAAGTTATCACCCACTAATACGTCTCCTGTCCTCTATATAAACTCGCTACCATGTACTATATTCCCTAACTTGAATCTACTTGGTTCTTGACCTCCTACTCTCACCAGAGTGATCCTTTCTGCCTCGCCAGCAGTCTATATTCTATCTTCTTATCTGCTCTTCACGGATAAGCCTATAGTCTTGATCTTTACTCATCGACTTCGTCGACGAGCAAAGCCCCTGTTAACTAGTCGGACTTCTGTCCTTCTAATTAACGACGATCTTACGATTAACCTTCGGGTGTCGTAAGCCTTGGCTGATATAGCTTATTGTCTCACACCCGCTTGACATAAGCTACCCGATTTGGACATAGGCGTCAAATCTTACTTGCCGAAGCCTCACCAAGTAAGACCCCTAACCTTGGGCTAGCCCAAGGACATCCTTGACCGTTGACGACACACGCTCTGTTTGAGCGTCGCCAACAGATACCATCCAAGTCGTAACAGTAGCGACCTCAGCTGCAGCCTGGATATGCCTGTTGTGATAAGCACTCTTCAACAGTTGGAGCACCTCAAAGATATTGGGTGTGAGCTGGTTGTGTCAACTCTGATCTGTGATGCTGCCGCTTGAAAAGGCCCGTTCTGATGGAGTGGCAGAACCTTGAATCACAAGAAAATCTCTTGCCATGCGGGAGAGTGTTGGGTACACCACAGAATGATGCTGGTAGGTGCGTCAGTAAATAACTACTAGTCGATGCAATAGATATAACTTACCCCCCACCAATGGACAACATCTCCCACATCTTCCAATGGAGCCATCAAATATGTGGCGAGTTCTTGATGAGGATTTGCAATGCAGTCGCGAGTAATGCCTCAATGGCTTGGAAGGTCCTCAAGAAGTCGAAATCTGGGCTTGAGAGTTTCCTTGACGAAGATGAGTCCGTTGAAAATGACCCTCGTGCCTTTCTCTGGTAAGTTTGCATCCTGGGACTTGAAGCCATCCTGCAAGGCTCTAACTCATATTTCCTTCGATAGAGATATCTTTCGGTTGCCTTGTACTCTGTTATCTGATCTGTCTGACTTGTTTTTCGGTAATTTTTCTTGCTTTCCCATCACTTTTCTCCACTTTCTATTGTTTTCGTATCCTACTCACATGTTCAAGGCTTTTGCATGACTTGTACTTTGTTTGACTTAATCTTTCTTTCCCTACACATTTTTATCCATTTTTACAACTTTTATAGATGGCGCGGTGCTTTATAAGACACCACTTTCATCCCTCACAAGTTGTGAAAAATGAGTGAATAATAAGAAAAAAGTGAAGAAACAGAGCACGAGTGGCCTTTTTTCAACTTTCTGGCAGTTCTCTGAATTACTATCTTTTAGCTTGAGTAAGTGGACATTAAGGGACACTAAGAGACCTGATGTTTTCCTGATGTGTCTTGTCTAGTGCTGCCGTGGTCTGGTTCTCTGGGGTTCGGTCTGTGGTTCTCTCACCAGCCAGAACCGGACCCAAAATCGGTTCTCAGTTCTAGGTCATCTGGAATGGTTCCGTTCTGGTTTGGGACACCCAAACCATTCCGAACCGTTGTTACTTCAATGTTGTTGTTGTCTGATCAATCGATCTTTGGGATTTGCACTACCTTCGACTTCGACCCTTCGACTTCAACCAGAATTTGTATTATCAGGCTGCCTTTAGCCTTTTTCAAGGTGAGTACTAACTAAGTCAACTCTGAAGCATCTAATCAACTGACATATGTTTAACTACATCTTCCTAGGCCGCTATGATCCTCCACAGGCTTTTTGCTGTAACTGATCTCCTAGGAGACCAGTATTCTGTGGTGCGCAGATGTGTTCTCCTTGCCCTGTGTACAAAACAAGGTCGTGACGATGAAACTGTGAGTTGTCTCCCTGAAAATGTCAGACTCCCACGCTCTCAATGCTAATGGCACCCTCAAGGACGTGTCCGAGATCACGTTCTACAACGATCCTGATGACGATGTGCCCTTGCCACCAGTTCCATCAAATGGCCCTGACGACAATGTGCCCTCAATGGAACCCAAGAAAAATGCCTTCTCAGTTCTACTCAAGACTGGACATATGCTAGCAACCGTCACTGCAGGCTCTCAGCGCTCTGGCTGCCCTTCAAAGCCCTCAGCTCGCATCCGTGACACTGACAATGTTGCTTCGTCCTCAGGCACAAGGAAGCATGCACGCACATCATCTAGTGCTACAGAGCACCCAGCATCTAAAAAAGTCGCCATGCGATTCATGTCACCTTTGGACTCTGATGACGAAGATATGGCTGATGAAGATCTCCTTTCGGCTGCTCCTGATCCAGGAGAATCATCATCTGATGAGCTGATCCCCCAGCTTGATAATGATGATGATGAGGCTGAGAGTCAAACTGCGAGTCAAACAGTATGTCATATCTTCATCATTGTCTTCCTTCACTGACACTTGCATTTAGGTCTCAAAAAGTGATTGTACAGCAGACATCCAGACTATATTCACTCATATCCCTGAGGGATGGGTCTGTACACTGTGCAAGTAAGTTTTCATTTGTTTTTAATTTAAATTCAATTTTGATTTTGGATAAGGGACGCTGGTGAACCAGCACACAAGCATATGTTTTGCGGAGGCACCTCAATGCTACGAACACACATTGTTCGCCACAGACGCACCCATTTTCAAGTGTACAAGGCACATTGCGATGCTGCGGGCATCACCATGCATTCTCATGCAATCCCACCTGGCAAAAACCTCACTGCAATGCAACAAACTCTTGATCACAATCTTGTTTTGAAACCTGCTGTATTCATGAAGGATGGGTTATTGGAGTACATAATGGAGCTTATCGTGACAGAAGATGAGGTGCATTTTTTAATTTTGTTATTTGCATTGCTGTTTAATGACATTATGGCAGGCAATCCAGTTGGTTGATAAACCAGCTTTCCGATGTTTGCTGTTGTACACCCATTCAACTCTATCCAAGAAAGATATCCCGCACTGCACCAAACTCACTGATACCATCAAGTCTCGCGCAAATACTATCGTCGAAAAGATCAAGGAGCGCCTTGCTGTAAGTTTATTCTATTCACATTATTAACTATTATTGATGCAGTTCTGATAGCATGTTGACAGCATGGTGTCCATGATGTTCGACTCATAGACATCTATCATCAGGGATCCTTTCTTTTCCGTCACTGGCCATTACATCTGGAACCCCCCTGATAAGCCACAAGAGTGGGTGCTGATGCGCGAGCAGCTTGATTTCAGTCATATCAAAGGCAACCATAGTGGCCAAAATATTGCCCACATACTCATTAAGACCATAGATAGGTACAAGATTCACAAGAAGGTAAGTTTTTTTAAATTTACTTATGCCATTTTATTGACCTTACTTTGCAGGTTGGCTGGATGACTTCGGATAACACCTCAAACAACAACACTGCCATGAAAGAAGTCGGACAGGTCTTAAACAAGGGCGGCAATGATTGGCTACCAGGTGCCCACTGCATTCAGTGTCAAGAGCACATCCTCAACCTTGTTGCACAGCACTTCGTTGATGCGGTTGCGCCTACCCCTCAAGCCACCTTACTCAAGAAGATCCGTCATGCTATAGACAATGGTGATGATGCTGACATTGACAGTTTAACTCAACAGCTGGCCACATTAGAATGTGATCCCGAAGCCATTACCGAGGACAGTTTTGATGTGGCAGATGCCGTTGGCAAAGCACTTGCTCTTATTGAACAGGTGAGCTCCTTTTCTTGTTTTTGAGTTGTTTTCTAATATGAATATAATAGATTTGCAAATCGCCACAAGCCAGAGCCTTCTTCCAAAAGTGTTGCAAGGAAGAGGGCATCCCTGTTTGCGAGATCTTAGCTTGGGTGCGAACACGCTGGGCATCTTTATATAAGTGCCTTGAACACTTTCTCTCTCACCGCCTGGTGAGTTCTCTAATGTCTTTATTTATTTCAATATCTCTAATGCCTTGTTTTTTTCAGGCCGTCAACCATTTAACTCTCCTTGCTGATGAGAGTCACGAAGTCCCGATGCTGTGCAACAAATCTTACAGTGACTTCAAACTCGATCGAGCCAACTGGAAAAAAATCTGACTGGTTCATAATGTCCTCAAGGTATTTGATTTGTTTATTTATTCATTTATTTACTTACAGCTATCATAACTACAGGAGCCTGCGACTGCGCAACAGTCATTCTCCTCAGCGACACATCCCACAGCCTGGCTCACAATACCCACACTTGAATGTCTTGCTGACACATGGCAGACGATGGCAAATGATCCCACATACGCATCGATTGCTGATGCAATCCAGAGTGGCCTCGAGAATGTGGACAAATACTACAAGAAGACCAGCGACTCAGATGTGTATTTTATCTGTCTGGGTGAGTAGCATTTTTTTTCTTGAGTGCCATTTCTAATGTACCTACAGTTCTGGACCCTAACTTCAAGTTGGCCTATGTCGAGACCTGTTGGACTGATGAAAAGGTTGGGAGAGGGAGAGCTTGTTTTGAAGCTGTGGTAAGTCTCATTTTTTCAATGTATTCTACCAGCGGCTGATAATTATGTACATCGTAGTTCGATAAGTATCACAAGGCTCCCCTGCTGCCATCTACCACAGCACAAGCCAGTGTGCCGCTGAAAGTACCAGTACTGCAAGCCGTTCAGGATGGCCAGTCCTGGATGCATGATGTGGTCATGGCACGTCA